CCCTCCCTTCCTCCCTCCCTTCCTTCCTTTCCTTCCTTCCTTCCTTCCCTCCATCCTTCCTTCCTTCCTTCCTTCCCTGTGTTCCTTCAATGTGTCAGGCATTGCATTAATTACTTTCATGGGACATTTAGGCTAGGACACCTCAGTTGGGGAGGTACATTATTCATTCATTCATTTTACATTTATTAAAAAAATATGCTTTTATTGACTTTTTAGAGAGAAAAGAAAGGAGGAAGGGAGGGAGAGAGAGAGAGAGACATCAATTCAAGAGAGAAATATCCATTGGTTACCTCCTGCATGCTCCCTACTGGGGATCAAGCCCGAAACCTGGGCATGTTCCTTATGGAGAATTGAACTGGTGACCTTTTGGTTCATGGGATAACCCCCAACCAACTGAGCCACACTGGCCAGGCATTCGTTATACATCTACTGAAAACCTACTAGGCACTGTGCAAGGCCCTGGGGACGTAATGAGATCTAATCCTGCCCCCAAGGAGTTTAGAGTCTTAGGAGTGAGAAGGCACAAAAATAGACAACTGAAGCATGGCTAACATCAAGGATTAGGGAATCCAAGATACAGAAATAACCGCTGGACAATGTAATGTCTCCCTAAGCATCTAGAGCAGCGCCAGGCACAGTCTAAGTATGTGCTCATAAATGCTTGTGACACGAATGATCCATGTTTGGAAAATTTCTAAATAACTTGTGAGTCAAAGAATAAAATCATTTTAACTAAATGCTAATAAAAATGCTACATTTGAAAATGATAGGAAGCAGTCAGAAAGGTGCTTAGAAGGAAATTTATGGTCTTCAGAGTATCTTATATTAAAAAAGAAGGAAGATGGAAAATTAAATCATTCAACTCAAGAAGTTGAACAATGATAAAAAGAATAATTTCAGCCTGCTGGCGTGGCTCAGTGATTGAGAGGCAGCCTATGAACCAGGAGGTCACAGTTTGATTCCTAGTCAGGGCACATGCCCAGGTAGCAGGCTCGATCCCTAGCGTGGAGTGTGCAGGAGGCAGCCAATCAATGAAATGATTCTCTCTTATCATTGATGTTTCTGTGTCTCTCTCCCTCTCTCTTCCTCTCTGAAATCAATAAAAATACGTTTAAAAAATAGAATTTCAAAGAAAGGAGAAAGAAGGAAATAACAATCCTCACCTGAGGATATGGTTACTGATTTTAGAGAGAGAAAAAGGGAAAGAGAGAGAGAGAGAGAGAGAGAGAGAGAGAGAGAGAGAGAGAGAAACATCAGTTGGTTGCTTCCCATACATGCCCCTATTGGGGATGAACCTGAAACCTAGGTATATGTTCTGACCAGGAATTGAACCCACAACCTTTTGTTGTGCTGGACGATGCTCCAACTAACTGAGCCACCCAGCCAGGGCAATGTGTTATGTATTTTTGACTATGAAATTCAGAAATTCAACTTAGTATTTATAAATTCATAATTCAGAAATTAGAATAGAAAATAGAATACAAAACACAGATAAAATAAGTAGAGAGCTAATTTGGCTCTAGGCCTCTCCTGGATAGGAATGTGGTTTATTCACCCGGCTCTCCTGAGTCTCGGGAGAGCCAGCTCTAGGCTTTCTTGCCTGTATTTGGTCTACCAACCAGTGGGTTGTCTTTAATCCCTAATATCTGCTATAATAACAATGACAACATCACTAATAATCCTTCACATTTGCAGAGCTGTTCAGAGTGCTGGAAACAAGAGGGGTGTTATTGCTGATAGGAATGAACATAACAATGGTCAGATCCTCACATGCCCTATTAGGTAAGTAGGGAAGGTGTATGCTCCATTTTACAGGTGAGGAAACTGAGGCGCATTTTTCTGAGGTCTCAATGCTTCAAAGTCCCTACTTTGCCCCCAAGATTCTTGTCTTTGAGACACAGGTTCTTCCTTCAGTCTATCTAGCTCCTTCACACTCACTGAAAGCCCCACTTCCCCCAAGAAGCCTGCTCTGATTCCTGGGTTCCCTGCACAAGCCCCTCTCTTCTTTGACCTTCTCTACTTGGCCAGGAAGTCCAGAATGGTTATCGTGAGTAGAGAAGTTCTCTCTCAGTTGACTGTGAGCTTCCTGAGGTGGAGGGGTGGAGAACAATTGTGGGTATCCTAGTGCAGGGCTGGGCTTGGAGAAGGTCCTCAATTCTTGTCTGTGGATCTAGAATTTGACTTGGCAGGATTAGGCCTGTACCCATCAGAATAGATTCTGGCCAACCCTCAGAGTTGTGCTGGAGAGGGAACCTGATACCACTTGGGAGAATCCCTCATATCTATGCTTGCTAAGGCAGCCACATGGTGCCTGGACCTGTCAGGAGGCATGTAGGTCAACACTGGTGCAGCCTCCTTGTAGGATGGTGGGGCGGGAGACCTTCTGTGTCCAAGTCGCATTGGCCGGAAGATGAAACTAGGTACTTGACGCCCTTTCCCCATAACTGGAGAATTCCCAGAGTCCTGTGGGCAATTTGTGTGACCAGTGACTGACCAATCCCAAGAGCGGAGATACAAATAGACACATAGCTTTAGCCGTGAACAAATCTCAGTACTTTATTCATCCCTTGGCAGGGAGAAGGTGGCCAGCCAGTCGGGAGGGGTGGCTAGGATATGTTATCTATTCAAATAGCATATAGCACTGATTATGCAGAACAGGAAGGGAAGCAATAAGTTAACAGCCACATAAGTTATGAAAAAATAATATATATATATATTTTATGTATCTTGTATCCCTACTGAGGATTTGCTCCCTTGGAAACCAATAAATAGGCAGAGAAAAAGCAGCAATCAGCACCCTTTGGGATCTCAGGATGGGTGTGTCCGAGTTCCCTCCAGCCTGAGTCAGTAGCCCTTCAGCGCCCCCGACAGGCCTGGAAGACCTGAGCCCTCGGAGGAGCCCAGGCCTCGTGGAAAGGAGATGAATGAATCAAAGAGCGGGGCTAGAAGAGGAGGGGAGGCAAGGGCAGGTAGGGAGGAGGGAGGGAGAGCGAGGAGGGGGCTTGTGGAGTGGGAGGCTAAAGCTGCCAAGATCCCCTGCAATCTGCAAAGACAAAAGCCAGGAGGAAGAAAGGGGAGCCCCGCATCTTGTTGGGTGCAGAGTTTCTCTTTGGTTGTCACTGGGGCTCCCCAGCCCGACTGACTGACCACAGGAACTCAGAAGGTCCCAGGCCTTCCTGGACTGCGCCTTCATCATGGCCCCGCCGGAGTCAGGGGAATGGACATGGAGGGCGGAGGGCAGAGGGGGAAGAAAAGGAGGAGCTCTGACCCCACAGGGATGGGGTGTCCCCGGGCTCCTCAGTGAGTGCAGAGGAGGGCAGGGCCAGGCTGTTTGGCTTGATGGGGAGAACAGAGACGCTGAGAAGGGATTCATGGGAAATGGGCCTAGGGTTTCATGGCAGGGGTGGGGCTGGGAGCTGGTACACCAAAGCCAGGTTTCAGGCTGGGAAACACCTGTGTGGGGTGGGGAGGCGGGGGAGGGGTGGAGAGCAGGCAGGGTGGCGAACCCCAGGATGCAGGGAGGGGAAGGGAGGACCGGATCCTGCCGCCTGGGCCCAGGCTGCCGTCCAGCCTCCACCCCCGCCCCCCCCCCCCCCCCTCCGGGAGTTCATCATGGCAAGAATAGCTTCTGGAGAAGGTGCCGGGAGCTGCTTGGGCAGCCTGTCCATTTCTGTGTGACCTGCTGGGAGGATCCTGCAGGAGGAGGGAGGGCACAGGTGTCTGGGCTGATCTCAGAGGTCCAGGCTCAGGCCCCAAACGCCCAGGGAGCCTCCTTCCCTCACTCCCTAATACTGTCAGACCTCTGGGGAGCCCAGCTGGTGCAGGAAAGCCAGGGCACCCAGCCCCCTCAAACTCCGGATACTGGGAGGGGGATAAGCAATCCTCACTGTCCCTGGTCCATGGCTGGGTCTGGGTGAATGAGGGCACCAGCCTTGCACAGAGTTTGAGGCGAGGCGAGGCTTGAGATGTGAGTTTAGGCCAGGGCAAGGGTTGGGCAAAGGGTCAAAGGGACCTGCTCAGAGCCCTCTGCTGAGTAGAAGTCTCAGAGGAGCGAGGAGGTGGAGATAAAACTGACCCCACTTCCCGTTCACCCCGTCAGGAAGCCTCTGGCCAGAGGCTGGAAGGGTGGATTGTGAGATGCTGATGCCGAGTGGCGTGACTTTGAAAAGCTGGTGGACAGTCCCAGCACTCATTGTTTGAACTCTTCTCAGTTCAGAATCAGGTTTGCCTCCCCTTGCAACCTAGAGGCTCTGAAGAGCTTTCTTGAGTCCGGCTCCAGTCTCTCCTGCTGCAGGGTGACCTGGGCTCCCGGTGTCCAGCTGCCTCACTCGGAGGCCTCTGACTCCTGCAGGAGGAGCTTCTCTGACATCTCGGTGATTTTGATCACGGGGCCTCTGCTGTTCTTCTTCTTCCGGAAGGGGGCTCTGGCCAGGTGGGACTTGGAGGCAGCTACAGGGAACAGAAGGGGTGGGGGAGGGAAGGGGCTGGAGGTGTGGGGGCCACTTAAAAGGATGCCTTTGGGGTCATGACCCCCACACCCTGTCCCCCTCTCCTCTGTGGGGCAAATAGACTCACCAGTCCTGGGTCTGGATTGCACAGTGCTGACCACAGCGGCCGGAGCCAAGTCCATCCTGGGAAAGGAGGGCGAGGGAGGGATGTGAAGGGAGCCTGTGGCTTATGTTCCTCTGGGATTGGGGCCTGGGGACTGGCAGGTAGAGGGCAATTCTTGTTGTCATCCCCAGCCCTGGGCTGCCCTGCTGTGTGACCCTGGCTCACCAGCATGTCCTCTCTGAGCCTCTGCCCCCTCTCCCTTGTATAAATGGCTAACTTTTACTGAGCGCTTATTTGTGACAGGTATTTGCATGCAGAATCACCAGTCCTCCTCACCACAGGTGGAGCATGTTTATGATCAGCCCATTTGCCAGATGGGAAAACTGAGACTTTAAGAAGCTGGGCCAACGTCTCAATTTGTAAAGTGGCTGAGCCGGGACATGAACCCAGGCCTGCCAGGCTCACAGTATCGTGCTGGAGGGGGAGGCTGGCTGTGTGTGGCGCTGGTTCTCTAGTTCTCCTTCTCCCTCAGCCCCACCCCACTGTCCCCACCCCTCACCTGCTCTCCTCGCCCTCCACCAGCTTGCGGTAGGTGGCGATCTCAATGTCCAGGGCCAGCTTCGTGTTCATGAGCTCCTGGTACTCTCGTAGCTGCCGCGCCATGTCCTTCTTGGCCTGCTGCAGGGCCTCCTCCAGCTGGGCCAGCTTGGCCTTGGCGTCCTGGAAGGCCAGCTCACCCTGCTCCTCGGCCTCCTTGATGTTCTCCTCCAGTTTCAGGCACTGCAGCCAGGAGGACAGAGGGAAGGGGTCAGCGAGCAGAGCTGAGAGGGAGAGAGTGGGCCGGGGCCAGGAGCCCACCTCACGGGTGCGTGTGGGGAGGGAGGGCTAAGCAGTCCGTTCCCGGGTGTGGTGATGGGTTGCATTGCAGCACCAGGGAGCTCAGAGAGACCTAAGGCGACACTGTCCAGAGACCACCAAAGAGGCCACCTGTCCCAGCCGCCCTTCTTTGAAGGCCCACCACTCCCTTCTCTCTGCGTGGCTGGCGGGAGGTGGCAGGCTCTGGGCGTGTGTGGCGGGGGCTCTCTAACAGTCCAGCAGCCCTGGCCAGTCCACAGAGCCCTCTCACAGGCAGAGATCACGTGATCCTCACAGCCCTCTCGTAGAGCAGGTGAAGGACGGAGGCACAGAGGTGCTAAGTGACTTGCAGGCCACTTCGGTCACTTCCTCTTGCACGTACTCAGCATGCATGAGTGAGGTCTGTGTGTATATGTGTGTGAGCAGGGGCGGGACGATGGGAGAAAGAGTAAGAGAAAGAGAGGGAGGGAGAGGACATGTGTCCCTGTGCTCCTCCCCGCTCCTCCCCCCGGGGCTCCTCCAGACTCACGTGGCTCTTCATGGAGAGGATCTGGGATCGGAGCTTCTGGATGCGCACATTGAGGTCAGCAATCTCGCTGCGGCTGCTCTGGAGGCTGTTCCCAAACTCGGCTGAGCAGGCGGCCCGCTCCTCCAGCTGGAGGGCGGAGAGGGGGTGGTGGGCAAGATCTGCTCACTGTGCCCCCGCCCCAGCACCCTGCTTCTCACTCCTTGCTGCTCCTTTTCCTCTCACCCCAGCCTCCTCGCTCCGACGCCCTGTCCTGCCCACCACATCCTCCTGCTGGCTGCCCTAGACTGAGCCGCACAAGCTGTGCCCACACCTGGCCTGGCATTGCTGCCACCCAGGGTGGCACAGGAGGGAATAGACTGTGGGCTCTCTTGGCCCAGCACAACGCTGAGCTCTCTAATTCTCCATGCCTGCCTGGGAACTGCCTGCTGTGGCCTCTGCCCTGCCCAGGATCTCAGCACACACCTGAAGGAGCCTCAGCCATCACTAGTGCAGCCCCTGCTGCCCTGGCGGCCTCTCCCACCCTGAGGTCCGCCACGAACCTGCCTCCGGGAGTACGCCTCAGCCTCCTCCTGGCTGCGAGCCGCGATGGCATCATACTGGGCTTTCACCTCCTCCACGATGCCGCTCAGGTCTATGTGGCAGCGTCTGTCCATGCCCACGGTCACTGACATGTCCTTCACTTGGACTGTCAGGTCCTTCAGCTCCTGGTGGCACAGATGTGGGGGTTCAGGGCTGGTGGGGGACACCCCATAGTCCCTTTATCTCCAAGGTGAGGGGAGGGGAGGCTATCTGTCTTCCTGGAGAGACAATCGAAGCATGAATGCCTCCCAGCTTGCACTCTGGGAAAGCAGCTCGCCACCCCACTTGCCCACTCTTGGGCCTTCCTCGCTTCGCAGCGGAGAGGGGCACAGGGAGGACTCCTGGCTCCAGGCCTACCCTACAGACTTATTCTCCTTCACTTTCCCCACTGTCTGCACTGTGGCCACCCCAGGATGCACACCTTCCTCCTGGGTGATGGGGAAGCAGCCCAGGACATTTGGGCCTGGGGGAGCCGTTCGCTCTGCTCATGTTGCACCATTGTGGCTCGAAGCAGCTTAGCCCCACCCCCCCGCGATCCCTCCCCCCTAGATGGGGAGCTCCCTGAGGGTCTGGCAGAACCATTTCAGCTCCGGGCCCTCCACATCTGGTAAGGGAGCATCTCAGTTTGTTGATAAATGTTGGAATAGAAACCCTAGAATGATGAGGGCAGGAGTGGGCCTAGAGACTGACAAGCCTATACTCTGCACCTGAGGCCAGGTGACATCAGGATCACCTGAAACGGGCTGGCCCCTCCCCATCCAGCTGAGGGGCTTGCCCAGCAACAATGACAATGGGATTCAACCTCAATATTTCCCTCTTTTCCCTATCCTGTAGGATCCTCTCTGTTCCTCCTCTCTGCTCAGAAAACGCCAGCCTCCATCCTCAGAGACCCAAACTGGTAAAGCCTCCCATTTCCCCGGGGGCTCACCCAGGCCCGGCCTGTGCTGAGTGCCCTCCTGGCAGCCTCGCCTCCCATCCTCACCCGGCCTGCAGGAGTGTGAGCCCAGATCACAGACAGGAAAGAAGCCCAGCACAGAGGTTATGGGGACACTGGGAATGCACTTTGCGGCTCTTGCTAAGCTCCCTTAGAGGGGCAGAGACAGGAGGGGAAGCCGCTGTCCTTCTAGCCCCAGACTGGCTCTTTCTGTCACAGCTGATAGCTTCTGGCCTGAATACTCAGGGATGTGGAGAAGCAGGTGGGGACAGGGGTCTTCCTAAGGGGCTGCAGGGTGTCCCCTCTCTGGCCCTGGGCTGCTTTCCCTGGAGGTGCTGAAGAACTGCTGGCACCTGTAGGGGGGGTGGGGGTTGCAGGGGGCCCAGTGGGAAGGAGGAGGAGGCCAGCATTGTACAGAGTGAGTCAGATGGCCAAGGCTCCTAGAGGCCGGGAGGGGGGCCAGGCAGTGGGGGCGAAACTCTCCTGGAGGAGGGAGGGTGTGGGGTGCAGATGTAGTTACTCCTACTGGTACTCACAGTCCATCCTTGACCTCTCCTTCAGGCATCAGATTTTGTTCAGTGATCTCATTTTTCTGATATATTTATATTTTTACTTGCTTGTTTGAATCAGGATCCAAATGAAGTGCATATACTGCGGCTGGGCCATATGTCTCTAAGTCTCTCTTCCCGTAGACGCAGATACCCCTGCCATCGCTCTCTGTTTTTTTGTTTTCCTTACTGTTTTTTAAAATTGAGAACACTGGGTTGCTTGCCTGGAAGCGCCCCACAGTCGGCATTTTACGGATTGCTCTGTGTGCTGGTTTAGCACGCACCTCTGCTCCCTGCGTTTCTAAACACTGGCATTGGAACTGGAGGTCTGCTCCGATCAGGTTTGGTTTGGGCTCATGACCGAATTCTGACCCTGTCTCCTGACTTTGGGCCCCTCCCTGACCCCCATCTGTCTCTATGCTCAGAGAGGTTGTGTTTGAGCCTCTGGAGTCTATACCAGCCGAGGCAGGTGCCTCTGACCTGCAGCTCGTACCCCTGCAGCCATAGAATGCAGGGCCCGGTGGGTCAGCTAGTGCCACATGGGCCGCTGAGCAAGCCACCCCTCCCCTGTCTGCTCGCTAGCATCCCTGGTGACAAGGATGGGCTCTGGGAAAGGGAGCTTGGGCAGGGCAGGCATCCTGCAGCCTCTCAGGCAGCATCCTGTCTCTGCCTCGAAGCTGCAGGACCCCGAGCCCAGTGGCCAGCTGCCCTTTAGGGGGTCTCCTGACAAAGGGTTTTGGTTGACCTTCACATGAACAGAGACTACAGGTCAAAGGCAAGGAAGGGCCGACCCCGTGCCAGAATAAGGTCAATGATGCCCACAGACTCACACCCACCTCTGCTGCCCCGGTTACCACGGAGACTGTCATTTCCCACATGGAACCAACATCCCGGCCAGGCCTGCTTGGCTGGGGACAGTTTCAGAGATGCAGCTCTGGGGTCTTCGGTCACCAGGTGGTGGGGGCCAGCGGGTTCTGCATAAGGCCCTCTATTGGCACTGCCAGCCCCGGCCTAGGTTGGCATTTGTTTCAGTTCAGGAACAGGCTAGGTCAGTGATGGCGAACCTATGACACGCGAACTCACTTTTTTGGTTGATTTTTCTTTGTTAAATGGCAATTTAAATATATAAAATACCAAAAATATAAATCTTTGTTTTACTATGGTTGCAAATATCAAAAAATTTCTATATGTGACACGGCACCAGAGTTAAGTTAGGGTTTTTCAAAATGCTGACACGCTGAGCTCAAAAGGTTCGCCATCACTGGGCTAGGGCACTGTCAAAACACACAGAAGGAGGGCTCCCCCACCAGGGCAAAGGACTGGCTAAACCGCTGATGGAGCAGGGAATGCAGGAGCTTGGTAAACAGAAGCAGGAAATGGAGGGTTTAGGACATCTGCAGGCCTGTTCAGACATGCCAGCCCATGGGGCTGCACAGTGTAGAACAATGCTGCCTTGTGCGGTGTGGCAGTGCCACCCTGGGCTGGGCCCTAGGAGGATGTCACCTCCAAGTTGGCAAGAATTAAGCCGAAGTACAGTGTAGAGCTTCTCTAGGGAGCCAGAGGCTGAGGAGCTGCCACGTGGATTGGGTGACCACGCTCCTGTGGCCCCCAGGTCTGAGGGCTCACTTAGTGGTGCTCAGTAAAATGTAGGAAGGGCACTGGGCTCTGAATGCCACCACCTCTTATAAGCTGGGTAACCCTGGGCAGTTTTTAAACCTCTCTGAGCCTTGGTTTTTTTCATCTGTAAAATGGGCATAATTATAGAACTGAAAACAGCTAATGTTTACAAATACTTCCCACGTGCCAGACACTGTTCTAAGGGTTTTGGGTTATAGTAACAAAATAAGTCTTCACAGCAGGCTGGTGAGGCGGGCGCTATTATTCTCCTATTTTGCAAATGGGGAAATTGAGGCATGGAGCGATAAAAGAACCCGCTGAGTTCACGTAATTGCTGGGCCAGGATTCAATTCCAAGCTGCTCTGACGTTAATCATTATCCCTCCCTCATAGAGTTGTGAGGATTAAGTGAGATTATGCCTGGAAGGTGCGTACACGGTGCGGGGATACAGAAGGCCCTCAATAAACAGTAGCCGGGGATATTTTCGTAACTTGTGAAGGCGACGGAGCCAGGGGAAGTGTCCAGGGCAGAGCAGCCGACTCCCCGAGGCACCACGAGGGCAGGCGCCAAAGCGGCTTAGACTCAGCAGGTTCCCTTTGCAGCAATCTGCACCCCAGGAGGTGTGCCTGGCTGCAGGGGGGTGTCCTCAGATGTAGCTAATCTCTGGAACCCGAGTTTATGGGTGGGGCAGGCGGAGTTCTGGCTGGCTGCAACCAGGCCCACGTACGCTCAGGATCTGGCATGCACTTTGGTAGCTGAGGGGGAATGCGAGCCTCTGTCAGCTTAGGCTTCTCTCACCAGCCTGTGCCTGGAGGTGAGGGGCAGGGGGACTGCCCAGAAGGATGCAGTGTGGACATGGGGCCCCAAGCAGTGCCTGGCCTTTGGCTCCTGCAGGCCTATCCGTGTGAGTGTTGTGTGTGTTGTGTGTGTTGTGTGTGGTGTGTGGTGTGTGTGTGGTGTGTGTGTATGTTTTGGGGAGAGGAGAGGGCTGTTTTCGGGGTGCGTGGTGTGTGTGTGTGGTGGGGTTGTGTATGTGTATGTGTGTGTGTATATGTGTGTGTATGTGTCTGGTGTGTGTGTTTGGTGTGTGGGGTGTGTGTGGGGGTGTGTGTGTGTGTGGTGTGGGATGTGTGTCTGTTTGGTGTGTGTAGTGTGTGTGTGTGTGTGTTTGGTGTGTATAGTGTGTGGGTGGGATGTGTGTGTGTTTGGTGTGTGTAGTGTGTGTGTGTGTTTGGTGTGTATAGTGTGTGTGTGTGTGTGTTTGGTGTGTGTGTGTGTGTTGGTGTGTGTGTGTGGTGTGTGTGTGGTGTGTGTGTGTGTGTGTGGTGTGTATGTGTGGTGTGTGGTGTGTGGTGTGTGTGTGTGTGTGTGTGTGTTTTGGGGAGAGGAGAGGGCTGTTTTCGGGGACACAGAGGTGGGCCTACACAAGTAGCCCATGCTTTGCTGATCTGGTATCTGCTCCAGAGTTGAAAGCAGCGTGTCCAGCCCTCCTGGGGCGTCTCGTGTCTGCCATGTTTTCCTGCCCCCTGAGGTGGCCATGGCTGCCCCTGCTTTTGCTTAGACCTGCTCTATCAGATGCGGTGGCCACTAGCTATATGTAGTCAGAATGGAGGTGGGCTGTAAGTGTAACCTACACATAGGATCTTGAAGACTTAATATGAGGAACAAAAATAGCCTGTTAATTTTTTTATATTGATCACATGTTGAATAATCATATTTTGGATATATTGGGCTAAATAAAATGTATTATTAAAATTATTTTTTTTCTGTTCCTTTTATTAAAATAATGTGGCTACTAGAAAACTTAAAAGTACATATTAAATTACATAATTACTAGTATGTATAAATTATGTACACATGACACATGTGGCTCACTATGTTTCTGTTAGTGCCGGTGCAGAGGCTCACTGTATGGGGGATCTTTTTAGCGAAGAGTCAGTCTTGCCTTCTCAGCCTGCAGCGCAGACCTCGCTTCCTAACACCTTCACCTCGCTGCCTCCCAAAGTGCCAACCCGGCTCTGAGCTGAGCCCCTGCGGCTCTCACCAGCACAGCCGAGCCCTCCCCTGCTCTGCAGCACCCTCCCCAGGTCCCCCCCCCCCCCAAGGCCACCCAGCACACTTAGAATAAGGTCCAGAGCCCGGCTCTGGGTCCAAGCCCTGCATGATCTGGCCCTGCCTGCTTTGCCCTGGTTCTTTCCTTGCTTTCACCACCAAACTCACTTCTGCTCTTGGTGCTTTGCACAGCTCTTCCTTCTGCCCGAAGCCTCCTCAAGTCTCCATTAGGCTGGATTTTCCTGGTTTTGGCCTCCTCTCGCTTGCACCTCCTCGGAGATGCCCCTTGACCTTGGGGTCTAAAGCTTTCCCCTCCCTCCAGCACGATGGCATCACTGGCTTCTTTGCAGCCCAGCACTTCTCACTCTCCAAAAGGATCTTCCTTCAGATGTTTGTTTAGTTGCTTATTACTGTCCCCTCTTAGCTGAGCTGCACCCCTGCGAGCAAGCAGGCACTCTGGCCGTCTTGCTCGCCTGCTGTGATGGCAGTGTCTGGCATCGGCAGGCCCGGAGGACACATGTGTTAGATGGATGAATTGGCTTTAGTCCTCATCACCAGCCTGCGAGCCCGCTACTGTTACTCTCCCCACTTTACAGGTGAGGAAACCGAGGCACAGAGCGAAGAAATAACTTGTCCAAAGTCATAGAAATGGTAAGGAGCAAGAGTCAGGCTTGGGGTCCAAGGGCTGCAACGTCTAAATGGGACAGGAGCCAAGCAGTTCTGCAATGCTCAGCTCAGATATACGTCTGGTTATGCCTGGCCTTCCTCCAGCCATAGCTCCATACTTGTAGGACCTCCGGCCTGGCTCCGAGTTTGGGCTCTGGGGTGAGCAGCAGGGAGGTCAGATTCAGAAACACTGGCCCTGTGATGCCTGCCTCGGCTGCACCCACAGTGAATTTGGGCCGAGAGTTGTGTAGCTCTGATACCTCCCCCCTCTCCACAGGAGGAGGTCGTGAAGCTGTGGTCAGCAGCCCCTAGGACCATCTTAGCAGAACTTTCTAACTGTGGTGCCTTTGATCCCTGCTCTGGCCTTGGCTGCGTTGCCATAGCTTGGCACCAGCTGTTTGCAGTATGCAGGCTGCCACGTCCTGTCATCCCCAGCAGTGGTGCTGCCTGCTCATAGCTCAATGGAAGCATCACCCCTGCAACTTCTCACCCCTGAAACAGGAGGTGTGGAGAGGAGAACACATATCCCATAGGATGCCAGGAGGCAGAGTGGCGAGGAGGGGCAGCGCCCAGAAGCCAGCAGCAGGGCCCGTCTGCTGACTGCACTGACTCTGCGCTAGGCCTTGCTGGGCCATTGTCCCCCCAGGCTCAGCTGGGGACTTAGGGACAAACGACAGTGTGTCTGGAGGCTCTCTGTCTGCATTTACTGGGTCATTTTTGTTTGGTAGAAGCTGGTATTGTCTTGTAACCAGAGAACCTGACTCCAAGCCTTCCCTGCCTTGGCTCAGAACAGGGAAGGGTGAAGCGCGTGGCCATCAGAGCTGGAAGCGGGTACCTGCAATCAGGCTGCCGGGACAGAGGGAGATCGTCCAGTAGGAGTGGCTGCTCAAGGCCCCCTGGCTCCCTGCTCTGAGGCCGCCTCCTGACCCTTGTCCATATGCACCTGGTCCTCGCGTGCCCTCAGCACAAGGAGGGCACGGGTGCTCCCTGAGAGAGGCCTTTGGGGACCCTACCTGCCCCAGCTCCATGAAATACGTGATGAGGGACAGGTTGGATGTTGGATGATTGACAGCCGTGCAAGAAGGGGCTAGGAAACCGTTACAGCTGTGGCCAGAAACAGCGAGTGACTGTGAAGGTTCCACACCCCACTGGACGTCCTTCCCTCCCCTGCACCCCTAGCCGTGGACCAGTCAGCTCGTGGCTCGGCAGGACACCGCCCTGTCTCCTCACCTGCTCGTAGACAGTTTTCATCAGGTCCACGAAGCTCTGCAGGCTTTTCAACTTGGTCTCCAGTTCGGTCCGTCGAAGACACTCTGTGTCCAGGTCCTGGGGGTGGGAGCAGTGGTGAGTGATGGGAGAGGGAGTCGGGGGTCCCAGGGTGGGAGTGGGGTGGGGGTCTTTGCTTCCTGGGTCAGAGGGGGGCGAGTCCCAGGGGAGACCTGACTCAGAGCCTGGAGGAGGAGCAGGTGGGGCAGGTATCTATCTCTGTGGTCTTGGGACTCAAGCCTCTGAGGGCTTTGCTGGGGGATCTGGAGGGAAAGCGGGCAGAGGGTCCCCGAGGAAGGAGCCCGGGCAGGCTACCTTCTTCAGCTGGACGAAGGTGAACTCCATGTCTGTGCGCTTGGAGATCTCGTCTTCGTACCTGGGAGGGAAGGAGGGAGAGAGAGAGAGAGAGAGAGAGAGAGAGAGAGAGAGAGAGAGAGCGCTCAGCTGGATGTGGTGGGAGCTTGGGGTTTGGTTAGCCCTCCCTGGGCGGGGCTTAGGGCTTTTGCTGTCTCATTTGGTGCCTTGTGACAATGAGCAGAGAGTAGTCCTTCCTTCAGGTGGATGGAGGCCCTCTTCTTCTATGGCACAGCCCTACTCCCCCGTGACACCCTAGTGTTGGCTCCGGGGAGGCAGGCCACCCGTTCTCCTTCCTGACTCTCACCAGTCCTCTCCTGCTGGCGTCTGCCCCCTTGCTGGCTGTGCTCCACATTCGCCTCCTCCAGGAAGCCTCTCCTGATTGGTAGCCCTTTCACCCTGACACTTTATTCCCTCATCTTTTCCCTAGTTCCTCCCCTAGGAGTCTCAGTTTCAAAAAGCTGTGCCCTTGGCCAGGCCTGAACCGAGCATCCTGCTTACCCCTCGCCCTCTCCCACCTCTCCCCTTCCCTGCAGCCCCTCCCTCCTCCCTTCTGCTGGATGGCAGGACACCATCCATCGTGTTCCCTCCAGAGGGAGGGCAGGAAGAATGTGGACTCCACAGTCAGACGAACCCTCAGTGTGGTTTTGGGCAGGAAACGCCATCCCTCCTTCCTTGAATCCCTGGTCTACCAGGGGTGTGCCTGTGTGCACGTGTGCATGTGTGCTTGCATGTGTGTGTGTGTGCCTGGGGCCGATGAAGTCCCCTCCTGACACAATGACAGACGTGCACAGTCAGTACCCTCTCTCCTCAGCTTTGCCTTCTTTGCTCAAGTCCACCTTGTGTTTGGAACAAGGACACTGTTGGGAGGGGAGATGGGTCCCTGCATCCCTGATCTTACCCTCTTTCTCTAGTCCACACGTCTGTCTTGGCTCCCGGGGGGGGGGGGGTGTTGGCCAGCCTTCCTGCCCCCCGCATCCCCCCAGCCCTGCCTGCCCCGGGGATGTGGGGGTTCTGTTGCTTCCTGTGTGCTTCCCTCCTCCCCAGGGAATACCTGAATCACTGGGGCTCTAATTACAGCCGCCTGCCCAGCCCCTGACCTCCCAGCCGGGCAGCGTCACCCCTCGCCCACATCAGCTGCTGGACCTGCGCCCTCAGGCCTTCTTTCCCGCCCGCCTTTCCGAGGAGCGGAGGGGACAGACCCAGGGGTGAGAGCCCTCAGGGCGCTGGGTCTGAAACTCAGTGTGCTGCCTGGTCACTGCCTGGGCTTCCAGCGTCTGCAAGGGGCTCCTAGGCTGCAGGTCACGGTGGCGGGCGGAGGGCGGGTCAGGGACTTGCCAGGGTGGATGAAATGCCCAAGAAGCTTTACCTTAGAGTCCTCAGCCAGGCAGGCTGCTGGTCCCATTTCACAGATGGGGAAGTGGAGGCCCAGAGAAGGGCCCGGAGGCACGTGGGGTGTGCTGGTCAAGCCCGGGCCCAGAGCCAGGCCAGGTGGGCTCCAGTCTTGCTTCCTTGCTCACCAGCCAGGCGACCTTGCATAAGCTACTTGTGTGTGCCTCACTCCCGACAACGGTGATGTCGTGAGGATGAAATAAGCAAAAACATGACGTGCTCACCGCAGTGCGTGGCGCCTGCTAAACCTACTGCTACTCTGACCACCTACGCTCCGTTCTCTCCAACGCCAGCCAGGCCCTTGGCCCCTCTGACTCAGCCTCCAGCATTTTCGGAGAGAAACGGGGGAGGCCTCATGGCAGAGAGAGAGCACAGGAGGTTCTCTCCGCACGGCCTTTACAAACCCTCCGGGCCAGGCTGACTTGAACAGGCCTCCCTCTGGAATTGGGGGGAGCCCAGATCTGAGCAGCCCCTTATGGCCTGGCCCTCCCCACACAAGCCTGGGGGTCAAACCTTTCCCCTTCTCCCCTCCCCCCTGGATAGGGGAGCTCTGCCCGCCTGGGAGGGCTGTCCAGTTGGGGCCTCTGTGGTGCCAAGCTCCTCTTTATCCCTCCCTGCCTTTCCCATCCTCTGTGCAGCCTTCCTCCTCCCTCCCCATGGGCTCCGCTGGGTTTGGGCCCCAGGTCACCCCTCAGCTGGGTGCTCTTGTGAAGGGAACAGACTGCACAGCTGTCTCCCATGGACCTGAGGCGCTCGCCATGGCCTTGAGCAGGCGGTGCCTCTAGCAGGGACTCTGCTTCACTTTTAGTAAGTAGACGGGTTGGCTAGCTGGTCCCTGGGGTCCCGGCTACGTCCAAGCTTTGGGAAGTCTCCATCTCTATAGAGGCTGAGGTTTGCCATGCCCCCCATTTCACCTCCAATCTCTGCCAGTCACCACTCTCAAACCCGTTCTCAGCCCTCTCAGCTCGTCACACCCACACCCCCCTCTCTGCCCAGCTTGTTTATATCTAGGAGGGAAGCTGATCTCATCGGCCTTGAGGAGGCAGGGCACACCCCTCCCTGTCAGGGCTTGGGCTGGCGTCTCCCGGCTCCTGGGGGCCCCGGGCTTTGGAAGGCCAGGCGGCAGCTTCCCGGGCTCTGGCGTGCAGACCCGGAAGCCCTCTGGCCTCACTCCCCCCAACTCAGGCGGGTTCCCTACCTGGAGAGAGGATGGGAAGCCCTGAGCCTAAATGTAAAATCAGGCGGCAGATAGAAACCAGGCGGCAGGCCAAATGAGGGGGCTGAGCCAGATCAGAACAAGTAGTGTTTGTACAGAACTTCCAGTTACAAAGTATCTCCGCAGATGCGATCTGGCTGGGCTCATGGGCGCAGCCTCTCACCCTGGATGACATGGGCTGGGATGGGTTTTAGCTGGGATGGGTTTTAGCACGCATGGCTCTGTGACTGCGGACCAGCCCCTGTCCTCTCTGGGCCTGTGATTCCTTCCGCATGTAACCTATGTCCTCCCACCAGCTCTGCCATTCTCTGATCCTTTGAGGGCCAAAGACCTACTAGATACCAGTGAAATGAGTCATAACTTCCCCCATTACGGTCAGAATGGGCAATCAGATTCCTTATGTGTTTATCTAGGACCTGGGAGAGAAGGGCTGGAGTAGAGGAGACCTCCAGGCCAGGGAGGGGCCCAGCCATAAGGACCAGTCCTGGCCAGGGCTGCAGATCACGCCTGTTGGCTGGAAAGTTCCTGGCAGACTCACAGGTGAGGAAACCGAGGCCCCAGAGTGGGGGGAGCGTCCTGGTGACCATGCCCTCTGACTGTGGCCTGAACAGAGGTGATGCGGAGAGGCGACGGGCAAGCTAAGCCCCAACCCAGGTCCCTGGACAGGCTGCCCACACCCTCCATCCCTGTCTGCTAGCTGCTCAGGTCAGCGGGGCTTGGGGCAGGACCCAAACACCGGAGGTGGAGAGGGGGTTGTGCCTCAGCCTGTCCACCCCTCACCCTGGCTGGAAACCAGACCTGAGAAGGGGGTGAAGGGGGCGTGCAGGGGCAGGGCCTCTCTGCCCTGCCCAGCCTCCGTGTCCGTGAAGCCCTGGCCACTGTCTGATCAGAGAGGGTCCTCTCTCCTCTGAGCCACCCATGTGCGTGGTCTGCCTTTCTAGACTGTCCAGTTCAGCCCAGCAAGCCTGCGTGCGTCAGGGACGGCCCTGTGTGCGGGCACTTCAGCCTTCTAGGGGTAGGAGGGTGGCCACTCATCGCCACACTGAACTCTCCACTTGCTCCTCACACCAGCCCCAGCTGGTATCAACCCACACAGGAGGAAACTGAGGTTCGCCTGTTAAACAACTGGACAGAGGTCACAAAGCTAGGGTGGGAGGGGGCAGGGAGTAAGTCCCTTTCAGTCTATACCTAGGCTAGGTCTTTAACCACTGAGCTTCCTGCCTGCCAGCTTGTCCCCCAAAGTCCTAAAAGCATAGTGCAGGCTGGGGCTGTGTCTCCCCCATCTCTCTGGACCCCACTGAGGTCGGCACACACCACCTATAGATGATTGCTTCTCAATTCCAACAAAACCCACTGCTTCTGTCTTCTGCCTGCACCCGCTCCCTTCCCTGGCAGCCCATCCAAGCCCATCAGGACTTCCCACTGCCAGTGGGACGTGAGCGGAGAGCAAGAGTGTTTATGGACACAAGGGGAGGGGACAGGGGACAATGGCTGTGATGGTGCCCAGGGGTTAGCTGTCAATCACAAGCCTGACCTAGTGTAAGAGTCACTATCTGGGGGTGGGGAGCTGTGGGTTCACTGCTATATTCCCTTGAAACCTAGAATACTGCCCGGCACATAGTAGGTCCTCCGTAAGTATGTCTGGAGTAAAGAAATGCTTCTTAAAGAAGCTTCCTCTTTTTCTGGCTTGAGTGCCCCGGACCTTGTTCCTGAGGGCAGGTTGGTCCCCACCCCCAGTCCCTGCCCACCGCCCCCGAGGGCGCACGTTACCTGATCCGAGACTCCTCTACCTTCTCCAGCATCTGCAGCAGGTTGGCCTCCAGCTGCCCCCGCTCCTGGCTCACTGTGCGCAGCTCCTCCTGCAGCCGGCCCTCGTACTTCTGGTAGAGGTGCCCAAGGTCAAAGGCAGTGGAGCCCTGGCTCTGCAGGAAGCTCCAGCGCGTCTCCAGCAGCTGGTTTCGCTGCTCCAGGGCCTGCACCTGGGAGAGCAGGAAGGCTTCGGTGACAGGGCCAGGGTCAGGCCCGGAGGCCCCAGGACCGCCATCGCACCCCCTCTGGGGCTCCCCTGGGAAGTGGCAGCTCATCGGCTCCCTGCGCCTCTCTGGGGCCCTCACTCAGCACTCAGATGGCACCTCCAACGGCTGATTGTTCCAACTGAAGATGGTGAGATAAGGAGGGATCTGAGAGAGGTGGAGCCAATTAGCAAAGGTTTCCTAGGGGAGGCGTGGGGCCAGCTAGATGAAGGAAGGGGCCAGGGTGTGAGTGTGAGGGCTCTTCGTGCCGCCTGGGGCTTGGGTGGGAGACCCCAGGGAACCTGAGGTGTCAGAGGCCCATCTGACACCCCCCTCGACAAGCCTGGTCTCATTTTGCCTTGGAAACCCAGCAGGGTAGGGCCTGGTTACTACTTAAGTGCTAATCCTCCTGGCAACCATGGGCTTGTAGCCTTGCCAAGCCTCAGTTTCCCCAGCTGGAAGTTGGGGATAATGTCACCTGCCCTTCCCACCTCTGTGGGCTGTTGGGAGGAGAGCCTGGGATGTACTTTGAAATAGAAACAAGAGCAAATGCTTCTGTGGCTCCTTCTGGGCATCAGGCCTGTTCTAATGCTTCACATGCTTAACTCATTCAATCCCCACCACAACCCAAAGGGGTATTGTTATGAGTTGCATCTGCCCGTGAGGAAAGGCGGCACAGAGAGATGAACTTGCCCAGGGTCACAGGATTAGCAGGTGGTAGAGCAGGTGTGGACTCCAGTGAGTTTGGGTTTAGGATCTTTTAACCACTGCAACCTATGCCTCCTGTCTGCTGCTGGGCCACCGTGGGCCCTGCGCCCACCTGCCCTTCTGCGCTGGCTTCTGCCTCTAGCTAGGCCAGGTGCGCCTTGAGGATAGAGGCTGGGGGCTCTGAGCTCAGCTGCTCCTCTCAACCTCCGCCTCCTTCACACTCTCCTGCTCAGACTGCTACACGGGCACCCTCAGCTTACTCCTCAGCTACCAGCAGGCCGCCAGCGTCCCTCCTGCATCCTCTCCTTCCCTCACCCAGTCCAGGCCAGCCAGCCTGGGCTCCCCTGCCTCTTCCCCACCCTGCCTGTCCTCTCCAGGCTCCAGCCTTCTTGGGGCATACCCTTCCCACCACTCCAGTCCCTCCCCAGCCCAGATGTGCCCCCATCTCCCCACCTGCCACCGCTCCCTCCGTCCCCCCCCCCCCCCCCCCCGCTCCGCCCCATTCCCTCAGTATGAGGCCCTCAGTTTATCTGCTCCTCACTTGTCTGGACCTACCACCCTCCCATCAGACTGACAGCCATCTGCTCCCTTCTTGGGGTCCCTAACCCCTTGGCGCCGGGACAGGGATAGACCACAGAGGCAGGAGGGGTGGCTGGGCCTGGCTTCTGGACAGTGTGGGCTGTCGTGGTCATGAGGATGTTGTGATGACAGCCCCATGGTGTTCCCTGTGACCGCAGGCGAGTAGCTGGGCCCCTTGCTGCCCACTGCGGGCACCAGCTCCCAGAATCACAGCCAGGAGCCTTGGTCCGTACCCTTCACTTACAGAGGAGGAGACGGGGGCTCAGGGCAGTCAGGTGACGTGTCCAGTGTCACACAGCAACTTGGTGGCCCAGCTTCCCAGACCTGCCCATCTGATGGTGGCTGCCTACTCTGGACGGTCAGGGGTTCCCTGTTCCTCCTGAATTTGGGTGCCTGGTGGGCCTCCTCTCTCTTTCTCTGCCCTGCTCACATCCCAGGCAGTCTGATGCCCTTGGGAAGTCCCCCTTGGCATTCCAGTGACAACGCTCAGTCCCACCGGCACTGGGAAGTCCTGCTTGAAGCTGACCTAAGCCTACCGTCTGTGTCTGCGGTAGTCGCAGCCAAACAGGTTCCGTGGGGATGGAAGTCAAGAGGGTTTCTGTCGTACTTGTGTGTGTGTGTGAGTGTGAGAGGGTTGTTGGAGGGGAGGTATCCGCTCGCCCCACCTTTGCTCCGTTTTGACAAGCAGGAGCCGTGTTTACAGTGAGGGTGGGGTGCGAGGAGAGAAGTGAGGCTCCTTTCTCCACCCATGAGCAGCAGAAAACCCTTCACGCCAGGCAGTTCTTCCCGTAGTCTGACTCCAACGCCCTATGTGCAGCACTAGCCTCTGGAGAGGGGGTGCGTTTGGCCAGCCAGTGCAGCCAGAGGGCATTCTGGCTCTGGGGGATGGGGGATGGGAGCAGCCCCCACCCCTGCTGCCCCTGGGGGAGCTGCCTGTTGTCTCAGTGGTTGGGGATGGCACGGAACCCCCTCCCAGTACCTTCCCACAGACAGGCTCCTCCCTCTCTGCACAAAGGCCTAGGGAGGTGCCAGGTTAATTGTCACCATCCTCCCAGACTGCTGAGCACTCACCTCTCCTTCCCCTTCCTCCCCATCTGGCTGACCCCCCTGCTCTTAGATCACTGGGTGGCAGTTCTAGGAGGGACCTCAGAGAGCAAACCTGCCTCCCACTGTACAGATGAGGAAACTGAGCAGCCCAGGTCCCCAGCCCATGGGCTCCAGGCAGGTGAGCCGACAGGGTGGTGTCCTTGGGCACGCAGGTCCTATTCCTCAGGTGAGGGGTTTGTCAGATCCCCTGCCTTCAGCCAGACGTTGGCTTTGCCCAGGGAGCCCGTGGGCCTCTTGGTCAGGAAGGGCTGGTATCTGCCTCCTGCGTGCAGGCAGGGCACGGCTCTGGGGACTTCCAGAGGTCACACAGGCCTTGGGGAAGACATGGTGCCACCCTCTGTCTCCAGGCATGTCACCACCCCTCTTAGTTCCCCACTCAGGCTGACTGCTGGCCCCTTTCTCCTGCCCCATCTCCCTCCCCTCTGTGGTCTGCATGTGAAGGTGAGCTGCCCGCCAGCGGCCTCTGCGGGGTGGTGACATGGCCCTCCCTGCCTCCCTCAGCCTCCTCTCCTGCTGCTGCTCCTGCTCACGCCCTCCTCCCGTGGCTGCGGCTGGACCAGCCTTCCCACTGGCATGCTCTCAGGGCCTCCCTCAGAGCAGGAGGCACAGGAACTACAGAGGGGCAAGTGGCTTACCCAGGAGGCACAGCCTGCGAGTGGAGGAGCCAGCACTGCTCCAGGGCCTCTTGCCAACTCCTGGTGGCCTTCCCCAATACCCCTTCACCCCCTCTTCTCCTTCTCCACGAGCAAGGCCCTCGTGGCCTTTACAGGAGATAGAGAGGGACTGGAGCTGACAGATCTTCCCCATGGGATTGTGAGTCAGGGCCAGAGGGCTGGACAGGAAGGTGGAACTCTTGGGAGGTCATCCCTACTGGCCATCTACTTCGGAGTAGGACTGCAGGCCATGCCTTCACCAGCCATTCCTATGAGGGGGTATCCTCTTGGCCATACTCAGAGCGCCTCCCTAGCCGATGGAGGGTGTATGTGTGTGTGTATGTGTGTGTGGGGTGTGTGTGTGTATGTGTGTGTGGGGTGTGCATGTGTGTGTGTGTGTGTGTGTGTGTGTGTGTGTGTGTGTGGGGTGTGTGTGTGCATGTGTATGTGTGTGTGGGGTGTGTATGTGTATGTGTGTGTATGTGTGTATGTGTGTGTGTATGTGTGTGTGTGTGTGTGTGTGTGACCCCAGCCCACACAGCATGTTATTCCCAGACATCCCAGAGGCCAGAGCCTCCTCACAGGCTCCCTGATTTCTCTCCATGCCGCAGAGGGACAGAGGGGATGTGAAGCCAGAGGGCCCTCGCCTGTCCCTTCTCTTTGCCTAGAGCCCCACCCCTACACTGGCTGCACTCCTACCCACCCCCTCTTCTCAGGCTCCTGCCTGGAAGGGGCTGGTGGGCGGGGCCCATGATGGTGTTTCTGATAGGACAAACAGCACACCTGGGGCATGGTAAGTGCTTTATGCATTTTTTTCAAAAATGATCCCATTTGATTATGACAAGCCCATTACACGGATGTGTACCGAGGCACAGGGAGGTTAAAGAATTTTCCTGGTCAGAGGTGGAGCCGGGATTCAAACCCAGTAATTTGGCTCCAGATTGCACACGCTTAACTGCTACCTGCTTCCAGTCAGGCCCTCGTGGCCTTTACAAGGGGACAGAGAGGGACTTGGGCTAACAGATCGCCTCAGAACGGGTGGGTCAGCCGAGACTCCTCAGGCAGAGCCCTAGCAACCAGGCCCCTGGAGGCCGGCACCCAGGGCTCCCTGCGTCCACCCTGAGGAGCACCTGTCTCAAGGTCCAAGCTTGAGGGTCGGGAGGCTCCAGTCCTGCTAAAGACCTTCAAGGGCATTGCCTTGGCTCCTGGGCACAGGACCCCAACCCCTCAGGCCCCTCCCTGTACCTGCTCACCCTCTTGTCACCACCCCCCGCCCCCCCCCCCCGCCCCCCCCCCGGCAGAGGCACAGAGTAATATCAGCTCTGGAGTTCAGGGAACAAGCCGCCCATCTGAGCCAAATTACATAGCTCATGAAGCATTCCTTTTAAGGGATTAATCTGGGTTAGGAGAGGAGGTGGCTCTGCAGGGACCTGCCTCCCCAGGGCAGCAGGCTAGTCTGCTCCTAGGCCAACAGCCCTCAGTGCAGGGCACTGCAGCCAGCCAGGGCTCCCCACCCCCCACCCCCCACCCAGGCACTCCAGGTATGGAGGCAGGAATGCTGGTCCGGGCACGTGAACGGGAGAAAGAAATGGTTCCCATCACAAAGGCTACTGGCTTTGTGTCTCACAGACCCGAGTTCAAGTCCAGCCTGTAGATTTGCTGGTTGTGTGACTTGGGCAAGGCACGCAGGCTCAGGATGGGCCGTTTCCTCGTGTGCATAGCGAGGGAACCAGGCCTGGGGGTGTTGTGTGTGGGCTAAACGACACGCATCTGCTAGGTTCCCACAGAGAGCCAGGCACAAGCGATGCTCTAAACCGGCTGCTCTCTTCCCTGGGCCCCTCTCTGGGAGCACCCGCCTCCTGGGGACACGAGCAACAGCAGACAGAGGAGCCCAGAGGCAGGGAGAGCAAGGCGCAGGCGAGAATGAGTCAGGGCAGAGGGGTGGCTCTGGTCTCCTGTGGGGGGGGGGGGGGGCTGCAAGAAGGTGGAGTTTTCCTTATCGGAAAAATGGGCATAAAATGACTTCTTTCCTAAGGCTGTTGAAGGAAAGAGAGATAAACATGGAAGCACGCAGCACAGTGCCCAGCATGTAATAAGCAATTAAGTAACAGCAGCTCTCACTGTTGTGACTATTACTCTTGGGCAGGGCCGGAGGGAGCAGAGCTGAGGGCTGGTCAGGAGAGGTTTCTGGAAGAGGCGAGGGAGGAGCAGGCTGGGGAAGTGGACAGGGCTTCCTCAGAGCTCCGGAAGCCCTTGCCCAGGGGCAGAGGGGACACGAGCACCCAGACCAGCATGCGGCCGCGGCATCGGCTCTCGGAAGTCAGGGCTCCGGGCACTCGGTCCGTCTGCTCAGGTGGGGGCCTGGCTGGCTGCCTGTCTCTGACTCGAGCATCCATCCCCTGCATTCCTATCTCTTGACTCCTCCGCTGCACCCCACTCAGCGGCCTCCTTCCTTCCGGAACCCCACACGCCCCCTAGGCTCCGGGGTGCTCCTGACTCCAGGAAGCTGAGCAGAGCCCGAGGGCTGGGCAGGAGGCTGGACCCCTGGGAGGTCATTGCCACTGTCCCTCTGCTCTGGAGTCGGACCGCAGACCATGCCTTCAGCTATTCCCACGAGAGGGCATTCTCTTGGCCATCCTCAGAGCTCCTCCCTAGCCCCTGCCTGGGGGGAAGGTGACCCCAGGCCACACAGCACATTATTCCCCAGACCTCTCTCAGAGGCCCTCCTGGGGTCTCTTTCTCCCTCCATCCCGGGGACGTCCCTCCACATCTCTGCTCAGAGCTTACGGAGCTAGGAATGCCGGCTCCCCATTGGCTGGGGGCAGGGGTGGGGCATGATGCTCGAGGAATAAAGAATTCAGCCACCTGCCAGTCCTTACCTCTCTGGACCCTCTTCCCACGCTCACTTACCTTGCCAATCAGGGAGGCAAATTTATCATTGAGAACCTTCATCTCCTCCTTTTCTTGGTTCTTCTGCTGCTGGATGGCTGGGTCCACCTTGAAGTCCAGGGGCACCAGCAGGCTGGGGTTCACCGTCACCTTGGGGATGGTGCCAGCTGACCAGCAGCCAGTGAGGCTGTGAGAGCTGAAGCCGGGCCTCGGGGCTTCGCAGCTGCCCCATTCCGAGGTCCCAGGCCGGGGGCCGCCCGCTGGAGTCACCTCACAGCTGCTCAGGCTGCTGAAGCCAACGACGCAGGAGCGGCAGGCCATCGCGGCCCCCGGGCCTGGAGCGGGGCGGGTGCAGGGATGAGCGAGGGAACCTCTGTGGGGCGGCGTTGGCAGTTGGCTCCCGTCGCAGGTCGGGCAGGCTGGGGACTGAGGAGCAAACACCTGTCGTACAGTGCTCATTAGCTGCAGGAGGGCGGGCACCTCCCAGCCCGACCAACCTGTTAGATGGTTACATGATGTGGTGCCCCGGCCCCTCCCCCCGCACCACTCCTCCAGGCCCGGGATCTGCCTTGCTGAGGGGGCAGGTCACAGCCCCCAGCCCAGCAGGGCCTGGCTCCAGGGAGGGGTCGAGTCTGAGCTGGCTGGGTAGGGGTGGGAGGCGGCAAGAGGAAGGGGCGATTCAGCAAGGAAGGAGAGGAGAGAGAGAGTGTGCGCCTGCCTCTCACCGCAGACCTCGCTGCATACCTGAAGGCTGACGTATCCAGGCCCACATACTTCTGGAAAGGATGAGGCAAGCGCAGGCCCTGGGCTCCCTCCCGAGTACAGGGCATCTCCCTGAGTGTAGGGCTGCCATGCTGGGCGCCGTGCCAGCCTAGCCTTGGAAAACAACACCTTTATTATTTATTTTCCAGCTGCCCGAGAGTCTCCCCGGCTTATCTTCTCCTCTGCCATTCTTCCTCCCTCCCCGCCCCCTTCCTTCCTTTGATCTCCCATTTATGAAGCACCTACTCTGTGCATCCCACTGTTTCAGAGGCTGGAGAGAAAAATAGATGGTCCAGGCCAAGAGCCTTTGGCTTTAGACATGTGAGACGTGGGTTTAAGACTCAGCTTGGCGGCTCACCACTGGTGTGACCTCAGGCAGGTTACTTGATTTCTGTCCTCGGGTGTGAGATGCGTATGGAACTACCAATCCCACAGGAGGTGGTGTATGCAGAGAACTTAGTGGGGGCTGGCGCAAAGCCCCAGGAAACGGTGCTAAGACCAGTGCCTGCCTTCTGGGAGCTGAGTCTGGTGGGGGAGACAGTTATGGCCCAATGTTGCCCTGCCTCAAGGGCCATGAGAATGTGCCCCTGCCTCCCCCATTCCCATTCCTCCGTTCTCACTTCTGCATCTCCTTCCCCTGTTTCATTTTAAATATGAAGTAAAAATAGAAAGACAGCAATTTGCTCCTACAGAGCCTCTGATGGGGCAGGGGAAGGCTCAGTCTCTTCCCTCCCCCCCGCCCCCCCCCCCCCCCCGCCCTGCACTCCCTCCCACCTTCCTGAAGTTCCAGAGGCTCACTTTTCACCCTCCACTCTTCCCCTCCTGGGCCTGCCTCTTCCTCCCTCCCTGGCCTGATGTCCTGGATGCTCCCTCCCTGGCTGGCTGGCTCCGTGTGCCCTCCTTGGACCAGGCACACCACCCTGGGTGGAGGGTCACCGTGGAGAGAGTGTGTCTGAGAGAGAGTCAGGGGTAGAAGGGCTCTCAGCCCCTCTGGAACTGGAGGAAGAGAGGCACATTGCTCATTCCAGGCCTCCCGCCGCCTGGGCCAGACCTCCTTCCCACACGGGGCGTTTCTGGCTCACTAAGGCGCAGGAATCTGTACCAAGGGCAGGAGCCGATCCCGAGGCTGCATCCCAGGCTCTGATGCTGGGGGATGAGTGACGGGGTCACTGCACTGGGGACTGTTTCCACTTCTGACTCCGCTGCCACGTTGGGCACACACCTGCAGGGCCCAGCCCAGTGTCCCTGACCTGGTATCTGGATGGCATGTGGTCAGACTCAGCACCCTGCCCTCCCCACCCAGCTGCCCCTGTACCCTGTGGGAAAGCGGAGGGCAGGCAATGGCATTGGGTGACAGCTGGCAGGTCAGATATGTCCCAAATGCGTTGCATGGATTAGCTTCCTTAATCCTCATTTGAGGTAGATGCTTTCCTTCTCACCAGCTGGGTTTACAGAGGCGGAGACTGCGTCTCAGAGGAGTTAAGTGACTGTCTAAGGTCCTGGTGCTGGATTTGAGTCCAGACAGTTGGAGCTACGGGCCCTTCCTCTCATCTTAGCCTCTGAACCCGACGACCCCTGGAAGGGGCAGTGGATAAAAAGGGAAGCTCTCTTCTTACTGTGTGGGATTCAGCTCTACCTTCTAATCTTCTTCTTCTTCTTTTTTTTTTCACCCAAGGATCTTCTTTCCATTTATTTCTACAGAGAGTGAAAGGGAGGAAGGAGGGGGAGAGAGAGAAAAAAACATCGATGTGAGAGGCACATTGATTGGTTGCTTCCCGCATGTGCCCCACCATCCAGGCTGGGCACCTGCAACCAAAGTAGGTGCCCTCGACCAAGAATCAAACCCATGACCCCTTGGTTCACTAGCCAATACTCTAACCACTGAGCAAACGGCCTGGGCAGGCTATGAGTATATTTTTAACAGATATATATTGATTGTCTACTCCTTCATTTCCCAAACATTAATGTGTACTCGTTATAAGCCAGAGTAGTGATATTAATATAGGATTTAAGATTTTTATAATAGAGATGAGAAATGAATACATGCTTAGTAAAAAAACTACATAAGTACAAAATCTTTCATAAAGTAGAAATGATTCATTCATTCATTCATTCATTCCATGAATATGTATTGAATTGCCGGGGCCCAACCCCAGCAGGTCCAGGGGTTCCCAAAGGCGTAGACGGAGTTGGCGAAGAAGGAAGGACACGGAGACAGTGTTCAGTTGATCAGCAGCCTAGCCAGGATCTCCAGCCAGGATCTCCAGCCAAGTTCTGGTCTGGATCTCCAGAGAGATTCTGCTGTAATCTTCTTCTTTTTAAATTCTTTGATCCTCACCTGAAGATACGTTTTTAAAAAATATATATTTTTATTGATTTCAGAGAGGAAGGGAGAGGGAGAGAGAGACAGAAACATCAGTGATGAGAGAGAATCAATGATAAGCTACCTTCTATACGCCCCACACTGGGGATTGAGCCCGCAACCTGGGCATGTGCCCTGACCCGGAATCGAACTGTGACCTTCTAGTTCATAGGTGAATGCTCATCCACTGGGTGATACATTTTTTAAATTGATTTTTAGAGAGAGAGGAAAGGACAGAGAGAGAAACATCGATGTGAGAGAGAAACATTGATTGGTGCCTCCTGTATGCACCCCCACTAGGGATTGAGCCCACAACAGATGTATGTGCCCCAACCGGGAATTAAGCCCAAAACCTTTTGGTGCATAGGATGATGCTCCAACCAACTGAGCCACCTGGCCAGGGCCCTTCTAATTTTCTTTAAGTTGGAGGCCCAATTCTTCAAAGTGCCTCTGTCAGCCCCTGAGTTCAGATAGGTCACAGTTAATTGCTGAGTCCCTGGCTTCGAGGCTGGCATTGCAGGGCGGTCCCTGAGGCCTGAGCACGGGGCGGCCCTCTTGAGGGTGGCCTGGCCTCTTGAAGGCATGGAAGGCATGCTCCCTGGGGCTCTGGCCCTGGGCTGGGACAAGCTGGGACTGGCTGGGACGTGGATCCCACTGCTGCTTCCTCCCTGCCCGGCCGTCTCTCCTGGGAGCAGTCAGAGAGCTGTCTTGACTGTCAGCTGTGGCTGCCAAACAGGAAGAGCAGTCAAAAGGCCCCAAACAAACACAGCTCCATGGAAACACCTAGCCCTCCCCTTTCCTCCCCATCTCTCCCCTAGCCCCCCCTCCCCCCGGGTCATTGTTCCCGGTGAAGTGTCCAGGCCTCTTTGTTTCCACCCCCATGGAAGACCTAACACGACCCTCTCCTGCCTAGATATGGAGCCTGGAGCACTTAGGGGTTCAGGGAGCAGGATGCCTGGCAAAGATGGGGGAGGGAAGATGGAGAGTGAGTAACATTTTCAGTCTCTTTGGGGACGTTGAGGTACCTGGGCAGTCTCCAAACTCCCCCTGAGAGTACTCCCACACAAAGCTGAGCCTTCCTGTGGGGCATGAGCTTGGGTGACCCCAGGGGCAGAGCAGCATCAGTGAGGAAGCCCCTCTGGGACCCTGGAGGCCTGTCCTGGTTGTTGCTTACATAGTCCAGGGGCAGAAACCACAGCACCCCCTCCCTCCTCCTCCTCCTCCTCCTCCTCCTCCTCCTCCTCCTCCTCCTCCTCCTCCTCTTCCTCCTCCTCAAGTCTCCCCGCTTTGCCTCTGGTCCCCTGAGCTGGTGACAGGATGCGATCCTGATCTCTCAGGAGGCAGAGAAAAGGTGGGAGGGGCAGGGCTGGCCAGAGGTAAGGAGTGGGGGAGGCTCAGGCCGGGCTGCCGGGAGCCTCCTGAAGTTGGTCCTCAAAGAAGCAAGGGGGTTTTCCCATTTGCTCTGCTTCCTCCTGCCTTCTGTTTCCCTCTTCACCTCTCTCCTTCCCACACCTCTGATCTTCTCCCTCTCATTCTCACCCACCTCTTCTCTCTTGCCTCCCTGTCTACCTGTCCCTCTCAGTGTCCTGCCCACTCAGAGCCCTGGCCCAGGGCGCCTCTGTCTCAGCCCTGGGGCGGGAGGCGTCTGGGCAGCCCCCGCCGCCGGGTGGATGGCATTCTAGGCACGGCATCCCTGTGTCACAGTTTCAGCACCTCCTCGGTGCCTTGCTCCCTTTGGCCTGGATCCTGGGACAATGCAGGGCAGCGATGCATAGTTGTTGGATGAATGTCTCAGTGAGCACATCCCAGCCTGGCTGGGGCCCTGGCGCAGGACAGGGCCCTGGGAGAGACTGGCTGGGAAGAATCCTAGGCTCAGGGCATGATGGCAAGGTCAGGACACTCCTTCAGGAAGCCTTCCCGGAGGAGCCTGCTTGGGTTCCTGTCCATCTCCCCTCCTCTCCTCTAAATGCACCTCCCCGTCCAGGCTCCCTGGGTCAGGGCCTGCTCCCTGACGTGACGAGGCTGGACAATTGGCCTCCTTTCTCTGGACTGTCTCTTTGAGAAGGCCTGTCCTGAGGCTGCAGGAGGGAGGCTCTGCCCAGTGGCTAAGTTCTGGGGATGGGATGGCCTAGGCCCGGGGCTGAGGGTCTTGAGCCACCTATGGCTGCGTGGAAAACACTTCTGAGGGCCTCAGAGCTGGGGGCAGGGGCGCTGAAAGTAGATTTGGGATGAGAGAGGGCTAAGAAAGGGGAACTCACGGCGAGAATAGAGAAGTTAAGACAGTGTCTATTAAGCCACATGCCAGGCAAGGCTATGGAGACACGGAGAGGCACCGACCCCGTGAGGGTGTCTGCGATGCCTTCCCAGTG